GTTAGGAAAAGCACGGGAAGCCAGGAGGAAGCAGAGACCGGCCACCTGACCCAAAGTAGCCTAAGGGGTATTCCATCCCACACACGTCATGCCCAGTACATCAACAGGTGGGGAGTCACCCAGAAGGCCCAGATCACTGCTCAGGTCAGGCTGGGTATTGCTTGGTGGGTGGTGAGCAATTGCATTGTGTATCACTTGTGTTTACTGTTTTTCTTCTCCCTGTCGTGGTTTAAACCCACCCAGACAGCTTGTTACCCACTTCCCCCCCCCCCCTTCTTGCCCTCCCCCTACTCTCGGAGGGATGAAGGAGAATCAAAAAGAATGCAACTCCCACGGGTTGAGATAAGAACAGTTTAGTAACTAAGGTATAACACAAATCACTACTGCTGCCACCAATAATAGTAATGATAAAGGAAATAACAAGGGAAGAGAATACAACACCCCATCACCAGGTGACCGATAACTTGTCCCCCCAGCCCGACCAAGCACCAACCGATACGTCCTCCAACCCTGCAGTCCCTCTGCCCTTCCGGGTAACTCCCAGTTACATCCTGGGCATGATGTGCTGTGGTATGGAATACCTCTTTGGTCAGTTTGGGTCAGGTGTCCTGTCTCTGCTTCCTCCCGGCTCCCCTCCTCCCTGGCAGAGCATGAGGCCCACAAAGTCCTTGGCCAAACCAAAACATCATTGTTTTTCAGCTCTGTTCCCAGCTGAAAGTCAAAACACAGGACTGCACCAGCTACCAAGAAAGAGAAAAAATGACTGCCACTGCTAAACCCAGGACACTCCCTTTCCCCTTTTAGTTTTATATTCTCTTCCCTTGTTATTTCCCTTATTATTATTATTTTTGGTGGTAGTAGTACTGGTTTTGTATTCATTCCATTCATGGCTTGACTTCGCGAATGAAGATTTGGGAAGGGCTTCTACCCACGCTTACTACAAGCGCGCTGATGACTAAGAAGGCCAATGTGGGATAGGCAAATCCGGCTACAAAAAGCACAGCAGAAGGTCTCCTTGGGTGGAACAGGTGGGGCGCGATTCTTCCTGCGTTGTCTTTTCTCCTCGAGACTAGTTCTTCGTGAACTCTCAAAGGAGTCAGCGGCATTATGTATGGTGTGCCTCCAAGTCTCCCGATTGGAGGCCAAGGTGGACCACTGATGGTAGTCAATATGGCCAAGGCTAAGGCATTGTTTCAGGGAGTCCCTGTATCTCTTCTTTGGGGCACTTATACCTTAATTAATGGACTGTTCTTAACCCATGGGATTTACATTCTTTCGATTCTCCTCCCCATCCCTCTGGGAGCTGAGGGGTAATAAGGTGGGGAGTGAGTGAGCAGCTGTGTGGTTCTAAGTTACCAGCTAGGCTTAAACCATGACAGTCCTACATTCAGTATCATGATTTTTAGTGTACTACTCCTTAGATCAAATAAGTTTATAGTACTAAATATAGTCATTCTCTCCTTCCTCAGCCTCAACCCCGGAAGAGTTAAAAGTTTTCGCCATCACCATTAACAAGCATTGTGCAAACCAAGCCAGGCCTCTGGTGTCACCTGTGCAAGCCTACTGTCCTCAAATCAAGACACATGGCAATCTATTTCTTCTGACTGCTTGGATAAAAATAAGCAACTGGAGGCTTAAGTGAATTATTCTGAAGATGTACAAACTTAAAATGCAGTGGATATTTTTGCCATTGTTCTACAGCTGCCAAAAAAGTGAGGTATTACTCTTTAAGTAGTCAGGCCAAATCCTGACTATGCAGGCTTTTAGGGAATATTAGTCTGTATAAGGCACACAAACCAAAACCCACTTTGTATCTAACTCCATATTTTAACAATGTAGTATTTATTAACATTCTTTTTTTTTTCCTCAAAAGAACTGGAGTGACATAACTCTTTTGAATGTATTTGGCTTGCTCTACTTAATGGATCAAAACAGATTTTTCATTTGTTTTAAATATAGCATTGCTGAAATCTGCCTCATAGCTATAACAGAATGAAAAACAAATAAATAAATAAATAAATATAAATTTCCTATGCCAGTCCTGCCTGCAACCATAAAAATATTTTTTTTTATTTGTTTCACTTTGGTTGTGCAGTATTGCTGTCACTGAACAGAAGTTATTTCTCTAGATATAAATGATTATTTTCTCAAACCTGTAAGTTGTAATGAAATCAACAAACTCTAAACTATGAGTTGTCTGGTAAGGTTTTAGTTTCAATTTTGTGGAGTTTTTTTGGCAGATCTGCATCACTGATAACTATGCTGGAAGGCATCCTAAAATTTTAAACATTTATTCCTACCTCTTTCCCACATTTAGACAGAATTCTGGAGTCAGTGATGAGCATCTTCAACAAAAACTGTGTTAAGGAGTTTTTTAACAAGGTTTTAGGCAACAGCAGTGGCAAAATCTGAAGGATGAAGGCTCAGATCACAGAAGGGGCTAACCTCAAAAGCTGTGTTCGGATCTAATCCAGTATTTGTGAAGTACTTCCACCACACCCCTCTTTTAATAGCTTTTTTATGTTAACCACAAAGGTCAGAAGACTCATGGAAGGGGGGGAAAAAACATCTTCCTAGAAACTACTGGAAGTGTTTAACTGAACAACTGGTTCACATCTTCCTAAAGTATGACATGGTAAAAATACCATAAAGCAGCCCTGAAACAAGCAATTCAAAATTCAAATAAGGTAGATTGCAACAGGTATTAATCTGGCAAGAGTTACTATTAGCATTATTTAGACCATCACAGTAAATGAGGCTTTGTCCAACCCCCTTTGGGTTTTTCTTTCTAGCCTTAAGAAATCATAAAAATATAAACCTTGGCTTTTTAGTCAGCTAACTAAGGTACCTTAATGAACTTAATGAGGTTACATATCATTCTTTGAAAAGCAAACATCTGTAAATACTAGAACTTACTGCATTTTTCCTCATATTTTCATAGTTTAATTAAGGGTCTGTAATACATAAAACACTGACACCCCTACATTCTGATGGGGCAAACATGTGGCTAAACTGTGTGGCTAAGTATTTTTAAAAGAGGTCATTCTGAGCAAATAGCTGAATTTACTTGGGCCTTCTACATTAAATATATTCCAACAGAGTCAGCAGTGACTGGCTTGAAAAAAGTCTGGCATTTAATTCTGGAAAGAATAATCCTCTGCAGAAAGTTCAATTTAGCAATCTATAGAAAACCAGGAGCCCTCCAGAAAACAGGATTCAAACTGTGGACTCAAGTGCAATCTTCAAGACAGGCTTCACGAGGCAGCACTGAATAAAGGAAAGGCAGTTGCAGAGAGACAGATACATGACAGATGCTACCTAATCTGCCACAATATTAGCATACGTTTGGGAGCACAATTCAGACAAAAGTGGCAAGACAAAACCAGAATCTGTCTAAAAAAAGTTTTCAATCGGATTCATTCAAAAAGCTCACAGAAAATCAACATTCCTCCTCTTTATCTAGCAATTCTTTTATCAGACATTTAATTTTCCTCAGCAGCAACATGTGATGGGTCAAATGATGCCATACTCAACACCAACAGAAACCGACTTTGCCCTTAGCTGGCATCAGAAAGGGAGTGACCATGACTTCCTGCTCCTCCAGCCAGGCAGCAGGAAGACTAAATCCATTGAATGCAACAAAAGGAGACTGCTAGGCCTGCTCGGAAACAGCAGCTAGGGCAAGGTTTCAAGTGTAGCTCATCAGAGGCACATAGAGCTATAAATAGAGGTGCTGTGGACAAGGGGTTAGCTGTTGCAGAAGATAGCTTCCTCTGCTGTGCAGCAGGCTAGACTTACAGAAGCACAGCCTAAAAACAAGACTTCAGAATTTACTTGATTTCTGCCTTGAGAACTATCTTCAGTTTCTGAAAGCAAGCAGGAGGGCAAAACAAAATTAGGTTGATGTTGCTTCTCTTGGTTTTACTATAACCTATGCAGTAGTAATTAGCATTTAGCAGTGGCAAGACTTCTCCAATTTTCACATGCTCTATTTTTGCTAAAATTTCAACTGTTATTACTAATGGTAAGCTTCCTCATGACTTCACTGTGTGGGGGGGTGTCCAACAAATGACCAAACTATTTTGGTAGGGCATCTTGGGTAAGATTATGGCAACTATGACTTGATTGAATGCACGGGGGTGTTCTTGTTAGACTGACCCTGCTCTGCTGAACAACAAGGCTCTAGAGGGTTCTCATGGACCAATGTGCAGCAGCACTAACACTTGCCTCCCAAAGGAAAACCAGGCCGAGGGGCTCCTTACAAGCCTGGCTGTCTGCCCTACAATTGGCCATCCCCGTGCCAGTAGTCGCCCAGTAGCGGCAGGGAACCATAGAGCATGGCAACAAGCAACCGGCAGCTCCTCCAGAGCAAGAGGTACGGCTGCCAGCCCGTGGCTTCTGCACCGGCGGCAGGAGCACCAGCCCAGGGAGTCTGGTCTCCAGCCCGCCCTGCGGGTGCGGTTCATTCACTCCTCTCCCTACACCGATACTCTCCTCAACATGGCCTTGAGGACAGTTTCCTCCTAATGGCCCCTAACAAGAGGCGGTGGGAGGACATCAGCCCCACCCCTCAGACAAGGGAAGCCGGGAGAGCACTAGTCTCGCCCCCCCCCCAACAGGCGGGTGTGCAGAGACGGGTCCCAAACACGCGGACAGGAGGAGCGAACTGAGGTCCCCAGCCACTCCCAGCTAGCTGAGCCGCGGCGAAAGGGAGCAGCGCCTCCTTGGCAGGCAAACGGCGACGGCGGACCAGCCCTCTAACAGGTGGGCCGACAGGAGCGAACCAGGACTCCCTGCGGCCCCCGACAGGTGGGCAGTGGGAAGGGACCGGGAGCGGCTCGGACGTTCCTCGCCGCCCCTAAGGAAGGAGGAACTAGGGGAGCAGGTGGCGGCCCCGGGGTACGGGGCCGAGGAGCTCTGGCGCTGAACCCTGTCCGGGCCGGCTCCGTCCCGCTGGGGGAGCGGACTGTCACGGGTCGGGCAGTCTCGCCGGCACGTACCTGAAGTAGTATACGTCACTCTTGCCGGCGCTAAGGCCCGACTTACGGATCACCTCTTCCTTCTTCCAGCCCGGGGGCAGCGCGGGGCAGTCCATCCTGCCCTGCTTCTCCATGCACCGGGAGCGGAGCCCAAGGAGGAAGAACGACTGGAGAAAAAGCTCGCCCGACCTCCGACAACAAGAACCTTATTGTTCCCAGACGCGGCCAGTGCCGGGACAGGCTGACGATGGCGGCCGCGGCGGGCTGCTCGAGATCAGGAGTGCAGGCTGCGCGCGCATCCGGTGGAGCACTTACCCGGCGCCCACTTCCGCGGCCGAACCCCGGAATCTGTGTCAGCAGCCTAGAGTTAATATAGCACAAGAATTAGTATAAAATTGTAAATCTTATTTTGTTGTAATATCTGTTTATTACTATGATTATTTTTTTAATGGTGACATCACAGGTAAGGTAGCTGGTGATTTTTAATCTGTTCATTTACTGTCCTTGCAGCAGGCCAGAACAAGTCTGTATTGGCAAGAAGTGCAGTAAGCAGTGACTGTGCATGTTGACTTGAACTGTTTTTACACACAAGTAGAAATGATCTGTAATCCTGAATTAAGAGACAAGCCTTTAAGTGTGAGTTACTTCACTGTTAATTTGGGGATTGTGTATTCAGGCAGAAGAAAATAAGGACATGCCTCTGTGGTAAGATACACCACGTCCAAAGCGAGCAAGGTGCAGTGTAGATGCCATGTAGCTGTACCTACAAGATTAAATCCTCTTGAGCACAAGTACAGGCACTTGCCGACATGTCTAAGTGGTTCTGGGGATTGAAGCCGGTTTGTAACGTATGTGGGCACAGTGAGGACTGAGCTCCACAGATGAGCCTGAGCCTTTTGATGTAGTCATGCTTAAGGCATGATTTATTCTGTCCAGAAGTTAAGAAGAAATGTGAGGCAGGCAGTAGTGTCTATGATCAGTGGAGAAAGTACATTGTAAAATGAATATTACATAAGAGAACTTTCATGGGTAAGATTGCCTGAAAAGGCCCCAGATTAAGAGTAATATTGCAGTGGGAAAAAATATCTATAAGGTTTTTAAATGTTCTTACCATCCAGTAATCTAAATAGAGATCTGTCCTTCTCACAATCTTGTAAAATAAGATTTGTGTGGGCTTGTTTGCTTGCTCTGCAGTATTGCATTTGGATCACAGCATATGCTTTGCAGCAGCATGAAAGTCCTGTGGTTATCTGTGAAGCACCAAGAAATCTAAAGTTTAAAAACCATTTAACCTTTATCTTTAGGTGTGCATCAGAAATACATTGTAATTACCTGTAACTAGGAAGACAGAAAATTTGGAGTTAAGAAACTAATGTCTGTCAAGGATGCTAAAGAGAAGTGTCCTCAGCTGGTGCTGGCTAATGGACATCTAACTGTACAGGGAAACGTAATACAAGGTTACAGGTACACAATTAACAGTTTTCCAGTAGAGGACAAAGGCTTTCTATTAAACTCTGTGTGCACGTGCACTTGTCTGCAATAGTGTCTGATAATTTCCTGCTCTAAAAGTTCTTACTACAATGAGCCTCACACCATGGCAATAATATTTAGTTGTACACTGTAAATATTTCATTAAAAAAGGTTTCAGACTTGGTTACAGCCTGGGTCAGACATGACAAATGGATCATACTGATGATGTTATATGGGATCTGTATACTATATTAGGATTATGCCCATGTAATTCTTATGAACAATTTTTCTTATTTAAATACTGACTGCAGTAATGTATTTCTAAATGTGAAGCAGTGGAGGACATAAAGCTGAAGCCTTTGAGTGTGTGAACTTCTCCAGTGTATCTTAATGAAATTATTTGCCAGCATTGTCATCGATTACTGCTTTTAGAATCATAGAATAGTTAGTGTTGGAAAGGACCTGAAGATCATCAAGTTCCAACCTCCCTGCCATGGGCAGGGACACCTTGCTCTAAACCATATTACCCAAGGCCTCGTCCAACGTGGCCTTGAACACTGCCACGGATGGAGTATTCACAACCTCCCTGGGTAACCTATTCCAGTGCCTCACCACCCTCACAGGAAAGAATTTCCTCCTTAGATCCAATCTAAACTTCCCCTGTTTAAGTTTTAACCCATTACCCCTTGTCCTACCACTACAGTCCATAATGAAGAGTCCATCCCCAGCATCCCTATATGCCCCCTTCAGATACTGGAAGGCTGCTATGAGGTCTCCACGCAGCCTTCTCTTTTCCAGGCTGAACAGCCCCAACTTTCTCAGCCGATCTTCATATGGGAGGTGCTCCAGTCCCCTGATCATCCTCGTGGCCCTCCTCTGGACTTGTTCCAACAGATCCATGTCCTTTTTATGTTGAGGACACCAGAACTGTACACAATACTCCAAGTGAGGTCTCACGAGAGCAGAATAAAGGGGTAGGATCACCTCCTTCGACCTGCTGGTCACACTGTTAGCGTAGGAACTGACACATAACCACCGGAATGGTTATATGAGGTGCTTTATTGCAGCGCTGGGAAACCAGGGGCACGCGCCCAAATCTGGCTTCAACCTCGTCACGTTGCATTCACAATTTATGCACTGAAAGCTACATAACTAATACATATTCAATACAGATTACATCATTAACTAATACATATGCATTAAGGATTACCACATCAGTCTATTATGACATCAGCCTCTTCTGCGCTTGCGCAGCCCCCCTCTGGTGGTCGTCCTGATGAAGTAAGGAGTCTTCCTCGGGTGAAGTAAGAAGTCTTCCTCGGCTTGTTCTTTTCACCTTTTTGTCCTCTGGACATATCCCAACCATTATGTGGACGCCAGCATTGTTCTATTTTCCCTTGACTACCTCTGGTAATTTCTAGGTTCTGCTTGGATAGAATTTCACAATATACTTCTCTAAATTCACCCATACACCCTTCACCATATATGGTTATATAAGCTCTTGCTACCAAGACTACCATTGTATCACTGGTTACAGGTTAACCACGATACTGGACTGCAGACGGAACTGCAAAATTATAGCTCTTTCTAATCTACAAAATCACACTATTGATTTATAAACCTCTCAAACATAATCGTTCCTACCATTTTATATGATTATTTATCTTAAAAACTTCACTCTTTTCTAACATTTCCCCCCTTTGAAAATACTTCACTCAATTTAAGTATTTTCATTCCCTTAGGTAGCTGTTTCCTGATAAATAGGAGGAGGTGTGGGAGATTTTGGATGTTCTTTAGTTACTGCTCCTATAATTCGATGGGTCCACGCATTGCTCCGGGCTATTTCCTTTCGAATACAGAAATACATCAGATATAGCATTAGAAACACGAACATCATTACGACTACAGTTTGCTAGAAGGAACGGATCCATCCAGTAAGGTGAAGGCCCAAACTATCAAAGAGTGCTCCAATCCAATTTTGTTCAATATATTTCCTTTCTCTTTCCGCTTCTTGTTCTACTTTGGTCAACTGGGAAATATCATATTCTATGTTTGCAGTTACATTAGGAATATGAATACAACAATAATCTATTCTACCTTTCAAATATCCACAATCACCATGTTCCTTAAGTAACAACAGGTCTAATGCCATTCTGTTCTGCAAAGTCATTTTAGTTGTTGCTTGTAATTGCAAATTTAAATCTCTGAATCCTTTCTTTGTTACCCCCTGGCTAATCTTTTTGTTTGGCCAATCAGTCTGTCAATCATTTCTCTATTTTGATATGCTGCTATTTGTGCAAATAAAGATTCAAAACCCCACCCTATTTTAACCCCTGTGGAGGGCTCCTGCCATGTGTCATCATCATCATTATTTCTTTTTGTTCGAATTTGCAGGGTTTCTAACTTGTCTTTGAATGGTGACTTTTTCCAAATTGGACAAAGAGTTGGTAATCCTAGGGTGATTTCTTTGACTGGGCCTTCTATGGATACGTGAGTAGTCCAGGTTCCATCACTTGCTGCCCAAACAAAATGTCCTATACTAGCACCGTAGAATATTTACAATCTTCATTGCTAATTGGGACCTGTATTCCTTTTTCTCCAATTTTTAGACCCCGGCATGCACATCCTGCCATTAAAGCAATCTTAATTGGAGGTATTGTGATTTCCTCAGGGTCCGTGTCACAATCTAAAATTTTGGTACAATTCCACCAAGGAACGTTTTTTATAACATCCCAACTAACCCTATTTATAGACAGCAAATCATCGATGTCTATATTCTCTGTTATGTTTTGCTTTCCTGTCCATTTAAGGCACCAAGATGTATTTCCAATATATTGAAATTTTTGCAAAATGCTCATTGACTAGATTGTATCCCAGTTCTGTTTTAAACCATCTGTTTTTCCACATTGCCATACTTTTCTTTGTTTGTTTACCTTCCTTTTCTTCTGATAGACACACTCTCCCCATTCACCTCTTATAGAGGTAAACAGCATTTTGGTACCTTTCCCATACTAATTTTAATATTAAAACTGCGGGATCTCCAAAAACATATTCTGTCACTGTTATGTTTTTTGTTACTTCTTCTTCCTGACAAGTGATTGTTTCATTGATTTCTGAAAGTGGCAATGTTATTATTCCCCATTCAATTGGTTATCCAGATGCCTTTGGTATTGGTAGGCATGCCATTATTTTACTCGTGTTTTTCATTTTTGCAAAATCTTTAATTAGGCCTAACATTAAGTTTTCCTCAGGATCTCGACAATATGATAGGATCGTTTGTGTTGGATCTACTGATCTTTTGATTTTTAGGTTTGCTGATCTTTTCTTTACCATGGCATTGACAATTAATGTCCTCTCTCCATAGTCTACACTTTTGTTTGTCCTTACAATGCATTGGTATCTGCCCTGGTCTTCAAGGGTCAATTTGAACCATTTCAATTTTGTTTCCCCTTCATTTAAATTCTGGTCGTGTAATCTGTTTTCGATTTCAACCTTTGATTCCCATTTATTCTGCAATTGATTTTTGTTCTGGCTATCAAAAATTAGACCCAATTTTTGAGAGACTTCGTCTACCTTTTTCCAGATTATCCTTACTGACATTAATACTATCGGAGTGGTGTTAGTAAACCTGCAGATCAGAGTGGCATTTTGCCCAAAAAACTGTGTCAAAACATCTCTCTTTTGTGAGATTTCCAAAAAGGGGACAACCATCAATGGCATTAGTATCCAGACAATAATCACAATTTTATAGAAAAATCTAGACATCCTGTTTACATTTCAGTTTAAGTTTTGTGGGACTCAGTATCTGTGATTCCCAGACTTTCGGGACCTTTTTCACTTGTGTATAATGTGTGGAAGGATGGTTGCATGACAGAGGAAGACATGAACTCCTTGGAGTGAGCAACCCAGTCT